TTCTTAACCATCTCCTGCATAGTTCTAAGATGAAACAAAGGGAAGGAGGCAGAAGTTCTGGCCAGTCGATGTAACTGTGGCTGCATTTTCCATACGAAGCAGGTTTGAGTCAAACTAGGCAGAGTTAATCCACCCTGACAATCGGGGAAAGTGGCCAGGCTGACACTGGATAGTTAGAGAGGGTTTTTGAAATGGTATATAATCATCTCTCCGTATCCATGGGGGATTGGTTCCAGGACCTCCTGCAGAAACCAAAGTCCATGAAAGCTCAAGTCTCTGATATAAAATGGTGTGGTATTTGCACATAACCTATGCACATCCTCCTGTATACTTTCAATCATCTCTGGATTACTGTGAATACCTGACACAAGGTAAATGCTATGGAAGTAGTTATTGTACTTTACTGGTTTTTTACTTGTGTTATTTTTTATGGTTGTATTGTTTTTTGTTTTGTTTTGTTTTGTTGGTTGGTTGATTGGATTTTGTTGTTGTTGTTGTTGTTTTGAGACACGGGTCTCGCTCTGTCACCCAGGAGTGCAGTGGCACAGTCGTGGCTCACTGCAGCCTCAACCTCCTGAGCTCAAGCAGTCCTGCTGCTTTGGCTTCCCAAAGCACTAGGATTACAGATGTCAGCCACCACACCCAGTCTGTATTGTTATTTTTTATTGTTTTATTTTCCAAATATTTTTGATGTTGTGAAGGGATGCCAGTTTTGGTGGTGGGTTGGGGGTAGGTCCTGAATTTTCCTAACTGAATTTCCCCATCACTTATTTATTACTGAGTTTGCTACCACTGTCCCTACAATAGAACTGTTCAATGGGGTTCCAGTTGTTGTTGATTTTACTTTTTTAGAACCTCCTTTTCCCTTGGATCTGAAACCAGCACTTCCCTTGCTTTACAGACATAGCAATTCCCGGTCTTTATGGACACATATCCACTCCTACAGGGTCCAGAGTGCCCTGTATATCATGGCCGTAAAGTATCCGCCCTGACTCCTCTTAGGCTTTGTTTGCAGAAGCCTGTGACTTCTGAACCAAAGTCAGCCTCCAATCCGAGGCTGGGGCTGGGACAATGACACGTGCTGAATGGAAGAAGTTGGAACTGATTGTTAAATATTTGAACAGCACAGGAAACAGGAAGCAATGAGAAACAAAAGCGCCCTCCAGCTCCGAGTCACAGGACCGTCTCCTCCAGCAGGCCATGTCAACCACAGCCCAGGGTACATGTAATTGGGTTATAGATATTATTTGGCCCAGAGAAAAAGCCGTCTGTCTGAGGATGTTGTATGCCAACCACTTTAGGAAGATAACAGAGCAGCTATCAAAGACCCTCAAACTTCAATTTCAGTCTCAGAGGGTTCTTAACAGGATGCTCTGGTTAGAAATTATTATTTATTTGCAAGGGCTCAGAGTCCACCAGTGTAGACTGAAGCGTTACTTTTTACTGGCAATGCTTCATTTTTAAGTTTTGTTCACTATTATTTAAATAATAAATTAAAAATCTTCCATAATTTTGCCATTGGGCCTAACCACTTATATAATCACAATGTACATAAAGCATTGCTTTTACGTTTTTCATTGTGGCAAAATATACATGACATAAAATTTGCCGTTTTAACCATTTTTAAGTGTATGGTTCAGTAGTGTCGAGTATACCCGCATTATTGTGCAACTGACCAATCTCCAGAAGTTTTCGTCTTGCAAAATTGAAACTGTATACCCATTAAACAATCACTTCCCATTTCCCTCTTCCCTCAGACCCTGGAAACCACCATCGTATTTTTATTTCTTTGAAATTGACTATAAAACTTACCTAATATAAATGAAATTACATAGTATTTGTCCTGTGGTGACTGACTTATTTCACTTAGCATAATATCCTCAAGATTCATCCATGTTATAGCAAGGATCAGAATTTCCTTTATTCATCCATTGAGGGACATGTGGGTTGCTTTCATCTTTTAGCTGTTGTGCATCATGCTACTGTGAATTTACATAAAGTTGCCTTTTTTTTGGAGACAGAGTCTCACTCTATCGCCCAAGCTGGAGTGCAGTGGCGTGATCTTGGTTTACCGCAATCTCTGCCTCCCGGGTTCAAGTGATTCCTGTGCCTCAGCCCCTCAAGTAGTTGGGACTACAGGTGTGCGCCACCACGCCTGGCTAACTTTTGTATTTTTAGTAGAGACAAGGTTTTGTCATGTTGGCCAGGCTGGTCTTGAACTCCTTACCTCAAGTAATCCATCTGCCTCAGCCTCCCAAAGTGGTGGGATTACAGGCATGAGCCACCACACCCAGCTCCAATTTACATAAGGTTTTATATTCTACTTTTTTACTTTCTGTTGCAATATCTGTGTGTATATACATATAATATAAATGACATATTATGTATAACATATAGAATATAAATTACATATTATATATGTAATCTATAAACATAAATTATGTATATATATATAATTTTTTCCAACTTGATATGTAGTCTTCATTATAACCTTTTTAAAATCTGTTTTAAGGGCAACATGACAGTCCTTCAAGCTCATGCACTGAAATAATTTCTACAGTTGGACATTTGAGATGTTTCTAGTTTTTCTCTAAATCCTATGATAAAAATTTTGTACCTATGATTTCCCTCCCTTCCCCCATATTTTAGCATACCTTTTTAGATAGATTCCTAAGAAGTGAAATTACTGGGTCAAAAGCAACATACATTTTATAACTTCAAAGACAAAAGATAGAAAACCACACTGCTTTCTAAAAGAACGGTGGTTGCCTAGCTACTAACAGTGTATGTGAATTTCCACTCCACCGTACTCACAGCTTATTTATTTATTTTTTACGTTATATGATTAATGGGAGGAAGATGAGTGCTTATTCATTTTTAATAGACAACACATTGATTATTAATAGTGATGGGCATTTGTGAGGAGACCCCAGACTTGGCCAGCCTGTGAATACTAGCATGGTTACAATAAACTGAAAAAATATATCTATTTGAACTAATATGTATTATCCATATAATGTATGAGTATGTGTTAGAAACATGGCCAAGTGTAGGTAATCTATAAATGATAGCTACTGTTATTGTTGCTCTTATTCTTATGATTGCCCAACATATAATGATTGTTAGTCTATACCTGCTTTCCCAGGCCCTCAGTTTGCCAAAACCTTGATTTCCCAATTTTTGGGAGGCATCCCCACTTAGGTGGCGTCTCGGAATATCCCTGTGAGGCTGCTCTACCCAAGCCCTCTGCCTCTAGCGCCCTCTATTGGACACAGCTGTACTATGCTGGAGGCTGTCAACCCTCAGAGTTCCAACACTGTACTTAGGGTGGAGGGCATGGTGGCAGAATTGTCACCCGGACTCCATAAAGGATGCTGCCTTATGCCCAGAGTCTTGCAAATATCTTTATTAATACAGCTCCATCTTTTGACCCTAACCCCCTCATTCCCTAGAGGCTCAGGCCACAGGCCCTGCATGTAAGTGGGAGACTGTATGCCATGCCCTCTGTAGAGAGTGGGACAGTGGCACCCCAGAGATGACCATCTCCTAGTCCTGGAAGCTGTGAATATGTTGCCTTACACGGTAAAAGGGACTTTGCAGACATGATTAAGGATCTTGAGATGGGGAGGTGATCTTGGAATATCTATCTGGGTGGGCCCCGGGTCATCCCGTGAGTCCTCAGAATGAAAGAGGGAGGTAGAAGGTTCAGAGTCAGAGGCAGAGTTGAACATGCATTGCTACTAGCTTTGAAGGTAAACATGGCCAGAAGCCAAGAAATGCAGGAGGCCTCTGGAAGCTGGAAAAGGCAAGGAAACAACCCTCCCCCAGGATCTCCAGAAGGAATGCAGCCCTGCCGACACCTTCATTTTAACCCAGTGTGATGTATTTTGGACTTCTGACCTCCAGAACTGCAATATACTAAATACAGGCTGTTTAAAGGCACCAGTTTGCAGTAATTTGTTATAGCAGAAAACTATAGGAATGAATACTCTCTGCTGATGTCTTTGTTTCTGCTTCCTATTTCTCTCTCTAGGTTTATATTTTAAAACTCGTTCTATCTAGGCCGGGCACTGTGGCTCGTGTCTGCAATCCTAGCACTTTGAGAGGCCAAGGCAGGATGATCACTTGAGATCAGGAGTTCAAGACCACCCTGGCCAACATGATGAAACCCTGTCTGTACTAAAAATACAAAAATTTGCTGAGCGTGTTGGCACGCACTTGTAATCCCAGCTACTCAGGAGGCTGAGATTAGAGGCTTGCTTGAACCCAGGTGGTGGAGGTTGCAGTGAGCCAAGACCATGCCACTGCATTCCAGTCTGGGTGACAGAGCGAGACTCTGTCTCAAAAATATAAAATAAAATAAAATAAAAAACCCTGTCCTTTTTTTTTTAGCATTAAATCGAAAGTTCCCTAGTTAATTAGGAGGGGCCCACCAGTTCCACAAATAGGAAACCTCTGCACTGCTCTTGCTCATAAATTGTATTTGCTTTTTCATGAATTTTTTATGTTGTTTGAGCCACCCATGGTTTAATATCACAATAATATAGATCAATAGAGCCTCTCAAGATCCCAGAATGAGCGACACTTTCTCCTGTAGTTAGCTGTCCAGTCATTTATGCAAGAAATATTGATTGGATGCTACCATGTATCAGGCACTGAGCCAGTATTGCGATGTGAAGACACAGTGCGCAATCTAAGTCTTTACCGAGGCCATAGATGTTGTTGGGGTTCTCTGACTTGAGAACAACATGCATTGTTTCTTTTCGGGAAGCTAACTCTGGTACATGGAGCCTCTTTGACTAAGTAGCAAGGAATGGGAACTGCGCACTGGTTCCATCTTGGCTTCCAGTTTGTATTCAGACCCAGGCAAGAGTTAAAGAGTTCGATGATAGATAAGCACAGATGCAAAGCAGTGCAGTCCAGTGCCTCTTTGCTTAGGATAATATCTCCCCTCTCTTTATCCTCTCCAGCCCTGCCTTCCTGCCTTTGACGCAGGGAGCTAAGGGTCTGAATGAACCCTGTTGGAGGTTGCAATTAAATCTTTGTGGACAAAGGGCACACACACGCACACATACACAGCATCCTCAGATAACAGGAGGCAATAAATCCATCAGCACATCCACGTTCAGAGAACAGTGTCCCTGCTGTCTTGCTAACAGCTGCCAATACCTCACTGAGCGCCTCACACCAAGATGGGCTCCAAGGTAAGATTTTTCTCTCTCCAGACAAATTTAATCTTTCCTTGTGATTCATGTGTCTCTCAGAGGATTTTGACTGTTAAGTAAAGTTTACTATTGACTTGTTGGCAAATTCCTGGTTTTGTTTGTTTTTGTTTTGGGATTTTGGTGTGTGTGTTTCTCTCTCTTTTTAGTACTTCCTTCATTCGCTATGTCTTTTAGTTTTCTCTGGCTTGTCTTTTATTCTTATCCATACATATGGTAAGTCAATTTGTATTCAGAAATATCTCATTTATACAGAGAAATGAAGGATCTTAAGTAATTGCATGCATTTACTGGTTAAAACTTAACTGAGAGTTTGGTTCACTTAGAACCTTGGTCACATTAATCTGTAGTAGTGAGAGGGTTCTTCCAGCCCTGGGCTTAGAACAGAGTAGCTCAGTGCTTGGGATACTCCCAACATCTGAGGCTGACTATTGAATTCCAGTGATAATCATTTAAAATTATTTACTTCCTTAATTATGAAAGTAGCTCATTATTGAATATTTAGAAATACACAGGAGATGACTGAAGTCGTTGATTATAAATAACTGGCATTTGAGTATCCTTCCACTCTCTCAAAAACGTGCCCATATATTTATTTTTAGACATTAGAGATCAAGCTGAAAATACTGTTTAATTTCCTTTTTTTACCTAACATTATAGTAATAGTATTTTCTACGTCACTAAAATTATTTGAAAATATAATTTTTAAGAGCTGCTTAATAATCCATCATTAACATGTTTGACTTTTCTTCAGTAATAAAAATTATTCTGCAATGGGTCATTTTGAGTATAAGTCTTTGGCTACATCTCTGATCTCTCTGATCTTCCTTAGAGTTACTAAGTCAAAGAGTATACAATTTTTAGGGCCCGATAGATTTCATGATGGTAATCTATTTTAAAATTTCAATGACTGGTATTGTTGACACCACAACAGAAGCCACATCAAAGAAAACGAAATTCTTCCCAGAAATTCTTTTTACTTGAAGTTTGACAAGGTACTGTGACTTAATGCTGACTAATTGTATGAAATCCTAAATAGAAAACTAATCAGGAAAGTCAGTGTTTTACTTTCACAGATGAAGGCATCTTTCTGAGCAGGGGTTTCTGCTCAAACAAAAGCATGAGAGTGCTTCTAGAACCACAGAGCAAGGGAAAATGGGAGAGGATAAGCCTGCGAGTTGAAAAGCCTGGGGTTTCATCCCAGTTTGACACTAATTGTGCAACCCCAAACAAGTCTCCTAACCTCCAGAGGCTCAGGTTTCTTGTCTATGAGATGAAGGTTGGTCTACACCAGTGTTTCTCAGGGGGCAGCCCAAGTGACACTGTGCTGCGTGAAATATTTTTGGGTAGCACCTAGAACATAGACCATACTTTTTTTTTTTTTTGCATGCCACATAAAATTACTTTTTGAAATATGATATCAATATCTATGTTGGTTTTAAAATTTTTTTGAGAGATAGGGGTCTTGCTATGTTGTCCAGGCTGGACTCAAACTCCTGGGCTCAAGACATCCTCCTACCTCAGCCTCCCAAGTAACAGAGACTTCAGGCACATGCCACCATACCTGGCAGTATCTCAGTATTTTAAAAGAGTGGATTTAGAGGAAAAGATGAAGTAAATGATAGTACAGGTAGTCCTCAGATATGACATAAACCATCAATGTGATAGGCAAATAAGTGTTGGATGTTTGAAAAACACAGGGTTAAGTGATCTGTAGAGCATCTATTTTTATCTGGATTTATATCTAGGCATTAATTTCCCTTGAATTTAGTAAGCAATTTAGTAAGCTATGCTTACTTGGAAGGCATTCTGGGAACCCGGTGAGTTATTGAGTTGTATGAGAAGTGAACAGTGATACAGACACGGAGATGTTTCCAAATATCATCCTACTACTTGCAACCCTTTGCACTTTTCATTTCAATAGTGAGTTTCATTCACCCGGGCAGACTCCCTCCCCTCTTCTGTAAAGGCTGCAGGAGACCTGTAGCTGTCACAGGACCTTCCCTAAGAGCCTGCAGGGGAAGACTGCCCCAGCCTGGCCCTCGCCATGCTCCGGACTGTTCTGGTCGCTCCCCAGCGGTTGCTGAAGGAAGGGAGAGCATCCCGGCAGCTGGTACTGGTGGTGGTATTCGTCGCTCTGCTCCTGGACAACATGCTGCTTACTGTGGTGGGTACGTTTGGGGGTCTTTGCGCTGAGGGTTAATTTGCTTTGGGCCCCAGCAAGCAGCGTACACCCTGCTTGAGTTCAACAGCGAATCCATCTGAGAATTTTCCTTTTCATGCTCAAAAACACACAGAGGTTGTTGGGTATGGGGGAAAAAAAAACCCTACAGAAAATGGAGTCTGAAACTTGTCAAACATAGCTAAAAGACTCAGGAGGTTCAAAAAGAAGGAGGTCCAGAGAGGGTCTGACTGGAGAAGAGGATGGCCTGGAGCCAGAACTGGCTGTGCTTTTCTTCCTCCCCAGACTGTCTCCCCAAGATGCTAATAACTCCAAGTGCCTCTGGGGCAGTGAGCATCTTCTCACAGCGGTGCCTTTCTGGCCTCTGCTCTATAAAAATAGCATATTTTATTTGGATATCCGATTTCTTATCAAGACCTTATCTTCCATGTGCTTCTTTCCTTTGGAATCCTGCTTTTCTTTAGTTGTTACTCTCCTAATGATTACATTAAGTTATACCCGTGTATAAATGGGTACTAAAAGGTTTCTCCTCTCGGGTAAAATATTTGTGTGTTTTTTTTTTTTTTTTTGAGATGAAGTCTTGCTCTGTCACCCAGGCTGGAGTGCAATGGTGCGATCTTGGCTCACTGCAAGCTCCGCCTCCTGGTTTCACGCCATTCTCCTGGCTCAGCCTCCCGAGTAGCTGGACTACCGGGCCCGCCACCACGCCCAGTTCATTTTTTGTTTTGTATTTTTAGTAGAGACGGGGTTTCACCGTGTTAGCCAGGATGATCTCGATCTCCTGACCTCGTGATCCGCCCTCCTCGGCCTCCTAAAGTGCTGGGATTACAGGCGTGAGCCACCGCGCCCGGCCAAAATATATGCTTTTAAATAAGGATCTTTCTGAGACAAGTTGTTAATCTAATACAATCACTTCTCATTATTGATAGTTCTGTAGTTATAGTTATGCTCTGTAAAGTCACTGCAAACACTGAATTAGTGAATACTGAATCATTGCTCCCAGGGGAAACACACACACACACACACACACACACACACACACACACAAAATTATAATCTTAAATCTTAAACATCACGGTAAATCCTATTTTCTTTGTAAAAGAGAAAAAGAAGTTCAGAAGTGTTAAGTGACTTGCCCAAGGCCTCTCCACTAACAGGTGCCAGAGTTGGGATTCAAGCCCTGTCCAGGGGTCCCAGAGCTGAGGCTCCTCTGAGCAGCCTGCCCTGCCTCCTACCATCCCTTCCTCTGGCCAGGTCTGTGTGAGAGCTGGACATGTCTGCGAAATGTTGTGGTAGCTCAGTGCATGTTGGTTTGGAGGGTTCCATGTCAATCTAAGTGAGTAGGAGAGTTAGCCAATGTGGAAACCATGAAGAATGAGAACTAATTATATAAGGGCAGAATTTAGCTACTTTAGCTAACAGGATAACTTGGGTAGGCACAGTCTTTTAGTAGCTTTTAAACCATGCCACTCCAGACACCAGCCTTGGGCATAAGGCTGAACCTCGTCATAGTGCCCCTGAACCTAGTAGTGGCAAGATGACATTTGCCCTTATTTCCCATCACCTGTCTTCCTTGACTTTCAGTAGAATTGACATCTGTCCTTAGCCCCTTGGCTTTCAGTGGTAAGATGACATCTGTCCTTAGCCCCCATAACCTGTCCTCTGACTTTCAGTACCAATTGTGCCCACCTTCCTATATGACATGGAGTTCAAAGAAGTCAACTCTTCTCTGCACCTCGGCCCTGCCGGAAGTTCCCCACATGCCCTCGCCTCTCCTCCCTTTTCCACCATCTTCTCCTTCTTCGACAACAACACCATGGCTGTTGAAGAAAGCGTGCCCAGTGGCATAGCATGGATGAATGACACCGCCAGCACCATCCCACCTCCAGCCACTGAAGCCATCTCAGCTCCTAAAAACAACTGCTTGCAAGGCACAGAATTCTTGGAGGAAGAGAATACCCGGGTCGGGATTCTGTTTGCTTCAAAGGCTGTGATGCAACTTCTGGTCAACCCTTTCGTGGGCCCTCTCACCAACAGGTATCTCACTGGGTGTAGGGCCCTGCACGGTACACAGGAGTAAGAGGACTAGAAAAGTATACAAAGGGGATTGGAAGGGAAAAAGAAGAAATACTCACTTGTCTGGTTCCCCAGGGGAGTCAGCTATTTGGAAAGCTCGTTATGCAAAGAATAACTTGTTACTGATGAAACGTCATGGGATCAGATTTTCTTAGTGATATATTGAGTATTGAGTACCGAGAAGAGAACCATGAACAGCAGTGTGCTGTGATGTTATATCAGTGACCTGGAGCGTGGCTTGAATGGAAAAAGGGTATGAACGGGACAGTCCTGTTGTAATCTAGAGCACTGGCTTCCCAGGAGATGTATTTAGGATTATTCTGATATTTTCAAGAGATATACACTCTACCTATATACTCTACCTAGGCTATCCTTTCTGGAAATGAGAATTTTGGCCCTAACATATGGTCATATTTGCATGTTTGTTTATTTGCTCGTACTCATCCACTATTTCATCTCCACGCTACATTCAGAGGCATGTTTTACCATACTCCCAAATAGCTGCATTTCTGCTCCCACTTACATTTAAAAATGTAGTCCAAGTATATGAGTGCCTGTTGGAATTGTATCTTTTTTTTTCAATTCCCTTTTAGGATTGGATATCATATCCCCATGTTTGCTGGCTTTGTTATCATGTTTCTCTCCACAGTTAGTAAGTAATTTGCTTCCTCTTTTCTTCCCTTCACTGATTACCTTTGATTTTATCAAGTGAATGTGATGTAGATAGCAGGGTAGCCTAGAAAGTAATTAGGCATCTGACTAAGCAGAGTGGGATACTGATTTAAATGCTCTGCTCTTTTTGGTATGCAGACTATAACAGTAGTGACAATTCAGTCTAGTTGGAATTGGTCTATTCTGCTATACAAGAACAGATATTTTATTCCCTTCAGCTGGACATAATGAAAGCTGTTTGAATATGTATGCTATGGGGTATGTCTGTGTGTGTGTGTATGTGTTATGTATGTATCAGTAATCTGTTGAGCAAGTTTAATACAAACTTTCCATCTACAAGAAGCAATGATATTATTTCGATATGCCATGGTAAAGGGCAACTAACAAAAAAAATGGAAATTGGACAATAACATCTGGAAAATTCCAAAAAGCCTACTCCTTTTCAGTTAAGGACTTTAAAGGTTAAGCTTAGAAAAGTAAATTTTCTAAAGAAATAAGAAAGAGAAAGACAAATTGTCTATCCAGGATCAGCTAAATGCTTCTAATAAAATGGAGATGGAATAAACACAGTACATGAGAAAAGCAAGTCTGGAAATTGATGCTGAGAGGTAAAGGAAGAAGGAATGAAAAGGGGTTAGTGTTTGCAGGTTAAGGCAGCCTGTGGATCCAGCCTTGGTTCCCGATGGCCCTGCTGATCCTCTGCTCTCCAACAACATACCTCCTTCTCCCTCGAGTTTTTCTTATTACCTTTCCGTTTCTTATCTACTTTCTCTCTTCCTCTTCCTCAGCTTCTCTTCTTTCCCAGCACAGGACTTGATTCCTATCAACCCAATTTTAACAAGAATTTGTTGCATTCTGGGCTGGAAGGCTGCAAAGTGCAAGAACTTGAGGTGTGAGGTTCTCTCTGAGAACTGCATCTTGTTGGTGAAATTTTAGCGGACTTGAAGAAAATGCAGAAATTCAAGTTAGCACTGTTCATGGAACTTCTAGAAGCTCAGCCTATGCTAGGCAGCAAATTTAAAAATAAGATGCTCTAGTTCATCAAATGAGGCTTAAGATTTATTCCATACAATTTCATGCAGTGCATGTATAACGCCCAGAGGGCCATAGTCACATAAAGAATGAAAAGACATGATTCCAGGTATCAGAAGTGTATGATGGTTGCCTGGGGAGACATGAGACACACACTGAGAAGTAAGACAATGCGGTGTGCTAGTGGATCTGGGACGTTTTAGCAGGATATCTTTGCCTGATTCTCTGCCAAGAACTCATGTTTTAAAAGCTTTACTTTTAAAGTAAACTATATATGTTAAATAATTATTATTTAACTTATACCAAACTGTATATGTTAAATAATTATTATTTCCATAGAATAGCTGTGTGACTACATGGAGTTGGCCTAATTCTAACCAAAAGAAAATACTTTTGATGTTTAGGGTATCCTTGTAGCATTGTCCAATGTTTCAAAAAAATACTTAAAAGAGAATGTTGATGCCCATTACTACCCTTAACCTCTCCATCCACCATGCCTAATGTAATCCAGAGTGAAATGGTGGCCCATGTAAAGGGTCCAAAGTGAAGAAAAAAACTGCTTTGGTTTTCCTAAATAGAATGACCGACTCTCCTGGTTTGCCTGGAATTGTGGGGTGTCTTAGTCCATTTAGCATTGCTGTAAAGGAATACCTGAGGCTGGGTCATTTATATTAGAAAGAGGTCTGTGGGCTCATGGTTCTGCAGGCTCTACAAGAAGCATGGCGCCAGTATCTGCTTCTGGTGTGGGCCTCGGGAAGCTTCCACTCATGGTGGAAGGTGAAGGGGAGCTGACTGTGCAGAGATGAGAGAGGAAGCAAAAGAGAGGAGAGGGAGGTGCCTGCCTTTTTTAAACCACAAGCTCTTGAGAGAACTGTAGAGTGAGAACTCACTCACCACCTAATGAAGGACATTAAACTATTCATGAGGGCTCTGCCCCCATGACCCAAACACCTTCCACTGGGCCCCATCTCCAACACTGGGGATCAAATTTCAGCATGAGATTTGGTGAGGACAAGCAACCCATATCCACACTATAGCGAGGGGCTTCCCAGGATGTCAGACTTTCTGTTTTTGTGGCGGTATTTTGAGTTTCAGTTTTAAAAACAAGGAAGTTCTGGGCAGACCAAGATGAGTGGGCCACTCTGTTCTCAAAGGACATTGGAAGAGTAGACAGAAAAGACTGGTGATAACAAAGCCCGAGAAAAGATGCTGGTGGCCAGGAAAGGAGAGACCAAGAATGTACATCTCTGGGACACAAGGAGAAGTTCAGTGTGATCATGTCTGTCGGGAAGTAATGGGAGAAGATTAAAAACACAACCAAAGACATCTGTAATGAATGGGCAAAGGGATTACAATTTTTCTGATTCAGACACTTTGAGGAGATTATTCTTACTCTAGGAGACATTATTCTGGAATTGGAGGTGAGACATGTCTGGACTTAACTACCCTGACCAGCAGCACCCTCTGATTTAGTTTTGGTAACATATTCCTGTTGGTTCTCAGTTTCATGGGTGTTCATCCTCAACAGACTGACCCTCTGCAAGGGCAATAACTAGATGCTATTTTTATTTTGCATTTGCTACAGAGTCTAGGAGAGCTGCGTATTCAGTATAATTCAATAAATGCTGATTTTGTCTGGTTAAAAGATCATTCAATATAAGATATAAAGAAGGATCTGATTGTATCACAATATATTATTTTCTACCCAATTCCCATAATCCTCGAAGCACCCCATTACTGTCACTGTACTCCAGATGACCCTGTAGGACCCAGCAATGGTAAAGACCGGATCTGGGTGTCGCACATGGAGAATCCAGGAGTATGGTCTAAGAACCAGTTTCCAGCCCAGGACACTGAGCTTCATGGACATCCCTCATTTCAGTGGACAGAATGTTGGGTTCTTGGCAAGAGATGTAGAGACTCAGCCTTCCATCTGCTGTGTGGTGACTTGGTTTATACTTCTGTGATTTCTCAGTTTTCTTGCACTTAAAAAGTGGTTCTGATGGAGGAGTAGGAGATTGAAAAGACAACTCAAAAAACAGGGAACAGTCATCATGCTTTATTAAAAACATATGCGTCATGACTCATATCTGCAGTATCATGGGCATGTTCTCTGGCAGCCAGGGAAGCAAAGGCAATTTGCTAATGCAGTTATCTTGCTATTCTCTTTGCCCAGTGTTTGCTTTCTCTGGGACCTATACTCTACTCTTTGTGGCCCGAACCCTTCAAGGCATTGGATCTTCATTTTCATCTGTTGCAGGTAACCCTGGCAACATCATCATGCACATACACATGCACGCATGCGCACACACACACACACACACACACATCTCTTACTACCTCAGATCCTATATTTATATGGAGAAATTAAGGAAAATATCATCTGGATAGGTAGAAATTGTGATTCAGAAATAAGGGAATTGGGCTGGGCACAGTGGCTCACACCTGTAACCCCTGCACTTTGGGAGGCCAAGGCAGGAGGATAGCTTGATTCTAGGAGTTTGAGACCAACCTGGGCAACCTGGGCAACATAGTAAGAGCCCTTTCTCTATTAAAAAAAGAGAATAAGTTAGCCAGGCATGGTGGTATGCACCTGTGGTCCCAGCTACTTGGGAGGCTAAAGTGGGAGGATGGCTTGAGCCTGGGTGGTCAAGGCTGTGGTGAGCCGTGATTGTGCCTCTGCACTTTAGCCTGGGTGACAGAGCTAGACTCTTACTCAAAAATAAAAATAAAAATAAAAATAAAAATAAAGGAATTATAGAATTTCTGACAGGGTCCATAGATCCCTGAGCCTGACCTAACTTCCTCTGTTAATATTCAGGTGCAGCTAGCTCAGGTCAGAACAAGCCTCCAGTAAAACCATGAAGAAGGGCAGGCTTTTATTTAGTGCCACTCAATGGTCCTTTGTCTGTCCCCCTCTTAGTACTTTATAGGAATAATCATGTTAATACTATCGGTAATACCAGTACGGTTTTCACAGTACTGGTGAATACAATATCTAATGCAGTCCCATGAAGTTGGTATTTTATGCCATTTTACCCATGACTATGAAAGCCTGAGAGTCCAGCTGCCGTACAGCACTAGCCCACACTCTCTTCCAGGTCCCCAGTGCTTTTCTGTTCTTCCCTGGGCATCCCTGTTAAATAGAATGGTCTCTGTGTGCCTAGGTTTTCCTTTCCCTGACCTGCTCTGTAACCCCTCGTTTAGGGAAACATGCTCAGAAACAAGAAAATGCTATGAAACATGGTATAATCAGACAATGGATTTTCTGTGTTATCCTTCCCAGAGGCCTTGTACTTTCAACAATATTCTGAACAGGAGTGGACAATGTGGGGGTTTGGGGGACTAGGGAGGGCAGTACTTGAAAAATACTATGGGTTAAGTTTTATAAAACCCCTCAAACTGAAACTCTAGCTAAGATTGTCACTGAAGAGATAACAGGGTGGGACCAAGGGCTCTGAGAGGTGGATAGAAGCCCCTGGGGGCCAGTTGCATCTGTCACTCTCTGCACAGGTCTTGGGATGCTGGCCAGTGTCTACACCGATGACCATGAGAGAGGACGAGCCATGGGAATTGCTCTGGGGGGCCTGGCCCTGGGGCTGCTGGGTAAGTGGCACCAGCTGGAGCTCTGGGTTCGGGAGGGTGGGATTCCAGGAAGCAGGTGTTCCCGAGGTGTGGAAGACGAGTATTTTCCTTCCCTCGTTGGCCTCATCCTATTTCAACTCCTTCAGAAATATCACTGAGAAAATGTAAAAGTTCCTTCTCCTTAAGAAGCTGGGAAACACATAAGGGTCAGGGAAAGGTCTGGAAGCCCAGCCTGTTGGAGGAAGTGAGCCTCCCCGCATTACAGGCCACTGCCTCGTCTCAGTTCCCATGCACACACCACCAGAGCATGGCTGTTGCCAGATGCTCTGCTAAATCTGTTACAGGCATAATCTCTTTTATTCCTCACCACCAGGAATGAAAGGAGGATTGATTTTCCCCATTATAGAGATGAAAATAAGAATGGCGAAATAGCCATCCAAGATCACACAGCCAGGAAACGCCGGAGCCAGGATACAGACTCCAATTTTCTGGCCTTGGAAACCCAAGCTCCAAATGATAAAATTACCCTTTCTTTGAGGCTCATCCTTCATACTACTTTACTGACAACTGACATAATTCCACTTATTACATGCCAAGCACAGTGCCAGTACTGTAGGGTGCGAAGCCCCAGGCATAGTTCCTGCCTTGTAGGAGCTCACAAGCGCATCGAAAAGAAAACACCTGAAATCTCTTCCCTGGCCTACGCCCCACCCTCTAGCCCCATGGGAAGCACAGGAAACAGAATCCCTGTTATTTGTTAGTATCTATCAAACCAAATGCCCAATCTAAAACCTGTGCGTCTTGAAGTCCTTTATCATGTCCCAAGTGAACTCCCAAATGAACAAGCTTGTTAGATCCTCAACAGCCACTCCTGGCTCCTTGTCACTTCTGGGTTAGAATTTGGCAGCAGTCCCCTTCTTGTGTACTCCCTCCTTCCACCACAGTGCCACCTGAAGAATCTTCCTGAGCCCAGAGTAGGTGGTGTTTCTCCCCTGATGTCTCTCCATAGGCTGCAAAGCCAAGTAGATGACTCATCTGTGTATACAAGGTTCCTGCATATGCAAGGCTCTACTTTTCTCCTCTCAAATATTCATACTCTGCTAACACCCACTTTCTCCTTTCTTTCTCTAACTACACACTCTTTTCTGACACCTCTGTGTTCTTCACACAAGCTTCTTCCCCTCCAGATACTCTGCACTTGGCAAAGCCCTAGTGGCTGCCTGGACTTCCTGAGACATCAACTGTGCGTTCATTGTATGCAACATTTTCTGTCACACTTTCACCATGCTTTAATTATTTGGGTCCCTCCCTACACACACACCCCCACACACACCCCCACACACATACATTTCATCCACTAGAAAGTGGGCTTGTTGGAGACAGGGATCATGTCTCCATCTCTGAATTCCCAGAGCCTCTGGTGGAGCTTAGCCCCTAGCAGCCCTTCTGCAAATGCTCACGGTGTAAATGTGGACAGTTCTCACTGGGTAGGACTCACCCTCACCTCTGGAATCTGTGTGTGCTTTGCCTCTCCAGTGGGAGCTCCCTTCGGAAGTGTAATGTATGAGTTTGTTGGGAAGTCTGCACCTTTCCTCATCCTGGCCTTCCTGGCACTACTGGATGGAGGTAAGTCACCATCAGAGCCTCCAGCAGGACACGGCCCAGGTCAGGTTGGGAATGTGTTATGTTGTGGTGTCCGTTTTGACTAAGAATGGGTGGTGTGGACATGCTTTGATGAATCAAGGACTGCCCCACTGTAGAAAAGAGAGAAGAAACTCAGAGAGTTGAATTTGCACATAATAGGGTGGTAGCACTACAGCTGCTATTGGAACCCCCAGCTATTCAGTAGACACGCTGAACTGTCTCGCCTTCTTTCTTTCTTAGCACTCCAGCTTTGCATCCTACAGCCTTCCAAAGTCTCTCCTGAGGTAAGCAGACGCAAAGCTCTGTTGCTAACAGATATACAGGATGGCTGAATGCAGAAACCCAGGCATGCCTGTCAAGTCATCAGAAGAAAAGTAAAGAGGAATAGAGTCAGGGAAAGTGAGAACTGTGTTTGGATTCTAGGATAGGGCTACATTTCGCGTAGTGTGGGGGATAGTGAGGTATTTGGCTTGATGTTGGACAAAGATGGTTGAAAAGCCTTGTGAAGAATCAAAGAAGCCATACAGAATATATATATATTTTATTATATTTGTATATATATTCTGTATGGTTCTTGATTCTTACCAAGGCTTTATACATTACATATAATATTATAATATATATGATGGTATTATATATTGTATATATATTATATATGGAGATATATATGGAGATCTTCAGATATATATGGAATATAGATATAAAGCTACTTTTATAGGTCTACACACTTTCACATATATATGGAGTGTATATTATACTCACCCACATATATGGAGTATGTTACTCATTAATTCAATGTATAATCTGGAGATTTCCAATTATACACACACACCACACCACACATATAATTAATAGCTAGGAGATAATGACATTGGGGACTGGAGTATCGGAGGCCTGTAACTCATCCTCAGAGATGAAGGCTGGTGGGGCCACCTAGGACGACTCTTCTCAATAAAATATCCTCTGGGTGGAACATCCCTACACTGTCTTCGTCACAGTTATAAGTATCAAGAGTGGACTTGTTTGATTTCTAAGCAAAATGGCTCTGGGAAGCATCCATATCCCCCACGGAAGGAAAAAAGTAAGAAATGCATCCAGTGTAAAAAGTTGATCTAGGCCTTACTTTGCCATCCACAATTTCGTCAAGGTATCCAGACATCGCGACGCACTCTCGTTCTTTCAGGGGCTTTCATCACCAGGAGGCTCCTGCTTAGTCGCCTCTATGCTGCATCCTTATACATTCCATGAATGAATACAATTTTAGCCTCACTCTACAGATAATGAAATCGAGGGTAAACAGAGAAACCATCTGAAAGAATTAGAAACTATACATAATCAAATTTGAGAGTGCAATTCCCCCCAGAGGCGACTAGGACCTCCGCGTTGTTGAGGATGCCTGCTGCTCTTTCACAACGGCTTTAGATAGGATGTCTGAGGTCCAATGGGAGGAGGTCATAACCATCACCATCCAGACCCCAGGGCAGGAGCACAAATTTACGCCTCTGCACAGGCTCCAGGCCTGGGAATAGGCTTGGCGCGAGACCCCTCCAGCCCTGCGCAAGGCATAGGGACACTCATCCAGGTATTCAGCCATTGTTTATTATTAGCTGTGCAGCCATGTGAATTATTCAGCAAGTAAATCCAGCTTGAGATTCCAGGGAAAGTGAGGCACCCACAATATCTACTTTCTGAGACAGAGTCTTGCTGTGTCACCCAGGCTGTAGTACAGTGGCACAATCTGGCCCGCTGCCAACCTCCGCTCTCCTGGTTCAGTGATTCTCACTGCTTCAGGCCTCCCAAGTAGCTGGGATTACAAGCATGCGCCACCACACCCAGCTAATTTTGGTATTTTTAGTAGAGACGGGATTTCACCATGTTGGCTAGGCTGGTCTTGAATTCCTGACCTCAAGTAATCCACTCCCCTCGGTCTCCCAAAGGGCTGAGATTATAGGCATGAACCACTGCACCTGGCCCATTCTCTCTCTTTCTAACAAATATACATTATTATTATTACTAATTTTTTGAGCCAGTTGACAGTAGATTGATTGTATCATTCCCTTACCCCGGACACTTTAGAGCATTTTCCCTAAGAACAGGATTATTTCCTTATGTAATGACAATAGAGCTATCAAAGTCAGGAAATTTAACATTGATATAATACTTTAGTCTGATTTGCAATGCCTACTCTGATTGTGTCAATTATCCCGATAATGTCTTCCATGGAAGTTTTTTTTTCTCTAGTTCACGGTCCAGTCCAGGACTGCATAAGACATTTGTGCATCACACCTCTCTAGCCTCTTTTAATCTGGAAAAGTTCTCAGCCTTTATCTTTCATGACACTGACATTTGTGAAGACTACAATTATCTATAGGGCATTCCTAAATTTGGTTTGTCTGATGTTTCTTCATGATACCGTGGCCTTCTGAGGGTCATGTCTGGAGGTATTTAATGCCCATCACCTCTCAGTGGTGATGTCCATTTTGATCACTGGGTCAAGGTGTCGTCTGGGTGTCTTGTGTAGTTATTACTTCTTCACCTTGTAACTAATAAATAACTTGTGGGAGACATTGTAAAGTCATATAAATCTCCTACTCCTCCTTAAATTTCCTTTCTGCCTTTATTTGTTATCCATTGATGATTCTTGACTGACCTAGCCTTTACTATAATGTTTACAAAATACTGGTTTTTCTAGGTTACCAATTCGTCCAAATCATCAGTTGGCACTTTGCTGTAAGGAATAGCCATTCCTCCAAGGCTGGCGGATCACTTGAGACCAGGAGTTTGAGACCAGCCTGGCCGACATGGCAAAACTCTGTCTCTACTAAAAGTACAAAAAAAAGAAAAAAAATTAGCTGGGCATGGTGGTGCGCACCTGTAATCCCAGCTACTCAGGAGGCTAAGGCAGGAGAATTCCTTGAACCTGGGAGGCGGAGGTTGCAGTAAGCCACTGCACTCCAGCCTGGGTGACAAAATAAGACTCTGTCTCAAAAAAACCCCTAAAAAACAAAAAAAGAATAGACATTCCTTTCTTATTGCCTTTATGCATATATATTTATAAATATTAATACCTAAATAGGTATATGATAATTTTATGTACATGTGATTATGTTCAGAAAAAACTTAAAAAAAATTTATCTGATTATTATCAGTGTAGAATCATGTAGTCCTATTTTTGTAGCTCATCACTCTCCTTATTTATTTACTTATTTAATTTTTTTTTGGAGACAGGGCCTCTTTCTGTGACTGAGGCTGGAGTGTAGAGGTGTGATCACGGCTCACTATAGCCTCCAACTCTTGGGTTCAAGTGACCCTCTTGCCTCAGCCTCTTGAGTAGCTGAGACTACATAGGCATGCCACCACACCCAGCTTATTTTTAACTTTTTATAGAGATAGAGTCTCCTTGTGTTGCCCAGACTGGCCTTGAACTCCTGGCCTCCAGTCCTTAATTGTTTTGATGCTCAAATTGTCTTAGATTTGACAACCATTAACTGGTTGCTGTGTCATTTTAACATACCTTCATTGTTTTTTGAGTAATGTTTTACTTTTTGATACAAAAATATGTCCTACGTTCATCTTGTACTTTCCCTGCCTCAGCCCTGAAATCATTTCGCCAAGGAGCCCAGGTTCTTATTAGTATGGACGGTGTTTAGAATCCAAACTATGGGGCTGGGCACAGTGGCTCATGCCTGTAATCCCAGCACTTTGGGAGGCCGAGGCAGGCAGATCATGAGGTCGGGAGATCGAGACCATTCTGGCTAACACAGTGAAACACCGTCTCTACTAAAAATATTTTAAAAATGAGCCAGGTGTGGTGGCAGGTGCCTGTAGTCCCTGCTACTCGGGAGGCTGAGGCAGGAGAATGGTGAGAACCTGGGAGGAGGAGCTTGCAGTGAGCCAAGATCACGCTACTGCACTCCAGCCTGGGAGACAGAGCAAGACTCTGTCTCAAAAAAAAAAAAAAGAAAAAGAAAAAGAAGAAACCAAACTATGGGCACTCGATGTGCTCTTTGCCATTGGGGTCACTTTGTTTCCCTGCCGTCTTAATGACAGAGCTAATACACACACATGAGTTCGTACTGAGACCTCCACTTTCAGCCCAACTCTGCGGGATTTTTCCCTGCTTGCCCCATTCCATACAAGTATTCTCCTTCTTTCAAAGTAAGAAATTTGTCTCCCCCTATTATACAAATAAGTAAATACATATTATACAAATAGATAAAAACATTTACCCATTTGTATAATTGTATGCTTACCCATGCTATTACAAAAAACAAACCTACCAAGAAATATTCAAGATTTTTTCAGTTCTTTCTCCCTTAGACTTAGTGAATATAGCCAATACTACATCTAGAAATTACCGTACTTGCATTGGTTCTTTTTTCCACCTTTAGTGTGATGATATAATGCATAATGCATTTGAAATTCATTTGCATCCATTTGTGGGTTTTTTTTTTTTTGACATTTAGTTTTAGTTTTTTTTCTCCATTCTGGCTAATTATATTAATCTGTTCAAGCTGCCAGAACAAAATACTACAGATTGGGTAACTTAAACAACACATATTTATTTTTTCATGACTCTGGAGGCTGAACGTCTGCAGTCAAGGTACTATTGAGGGTTGGTTTCTGGTGAGGCCTCTCTTCCTGGCTTGCAGACAGCCACCTTCTCAGGTGTCTTCACATGACCTTTACTCAGTGTGTGTGCACAGAGAAAGAGAGCCCTGATGTCCCTTTCTCTTTTAATAAGGACAACAGTTTTGCAGATTAGAGCCCCCACTCTCATGACTTCATTTAACCTTAATTACCTCCCTAAAGATGCTGTCTCCAAACACAGTCATATTAGGGGTTAGGACTTCAACATACTAATTTGACCAAGGTGGGGCTCAATTCATCCCAAAACACTAAAATAGTTTTATTTTTTGAATATATAAAACATTACCACCTAAAAGTCAAAATTATTCAAAAAGGTATACTCAGAAAGCATCAATCCTTCCAGTCTTTCTAACCCTTCCCCTCCCCCACCCCTACCACGCGTAGGTAACCAATCTTAATGCCCTCCAGTTTGTCTTTCCTGTGTCTTTGTGTTTTTTCCTCAAAATAAATAGCTTATGTGTTTTCTTATTTTTCCCTTTTCTCTTACATGAAAGGCAGCACACTGTGTATTCTTTTTTGCATTCTCCTTTTTTTCTCAATAATATGTCCTGAAAATTACTCTACTAATTCATAGAATCTTTCCTCATTATTTCACACCTGTGTGATACACACACGCACACACACACAATTGTGTATGTGTACACAATGGTACACAATTGTGTGTGCACCATATTTTATTCCATCTCCTGTGTTTAGGTAGTTTTCAGTATTTTGTAGTTACAAATAGTGCTGTAATTTACATGTGTGCATTTTTATAATGTCAGCATTCATCTTTAGAGTCAATTCCTAGAAGTGGGACTGTTGGGTCAAAGGGTTTATTGGACTTTTAAATGTATATTTTAATGATTTACATCAGTTTCTTTAGTTTGAATAATAATGGGGTGAGAGAATGATCTTTTTAGTTTTAGAATCTCTAAATTTCTCAATCCACTATTGTGTGTGTGCAGAGAGGGTTATCATACCAAAATGATCAAATCTATTACAAGACAGAATGTAGTAAACACCGTGAAGAATTAGGACGTAGTGTTCAGGATGTTTGAAAGAGAGAGAAGCCCCAGCTACTGAGTCAGGGAGCACTCTGGAAAAGAAGGAGCCATTTAAGCTTGACTTTAAAGAGTGGGTAGACCTTGGAACTATGGAGAAGCAAAGGACGTGTAGTTCAGGCAAAGGCAATAACGATGGCTGAGGGACTGCTGGGATGCATGGAAGGAGGGTGGGGTGACCAAGTTTAGATGAGAGTGTGTCTTGATGAGAGTGGGTACTGCATGTTTAGGCTGCATTTTAACTCTGCTTCTTCTATCTTAGTCCAGTGTGGCTCAAAATTATCAGAATTAATTCAGAAATCTTGAGAGGCTTTCTGAGTTATGGGCTTCTGTGCTTGCTTTTGGGATTCGATGCTCTGCCTGTGGTTCTCCCAGGACAAACATTAGTACCAGGGAGATCTAGTAGAAACCATGAGTCCAGACACCTATGTCCAACCCTAATCTTGCTACCAGTTCACTCTGATCTTGTTGATGGTCATGTGAAGGCAGGAATCACAGCTGGAATATATTGCTTCTCTATCTGTGACTACTACAGTGCCTACCTTGCGCACAGGAGGGGCCCTGCCTCCAGCTCCTCTGTGGCATCAGACAAGTCACTTTCTCTCCCTGCACTGGGATTCCTGGTCTCTGCAGTAAAGGAGCTGCTGTAGATGGTCTCTAAGCCCCTAATTGCATCTTCTCAGATTCTGTGAAAATAGGAGAGATGTATGCACTGTACAAATGGACATTTTTTGTCATCCATGTTCTCAGAGTGCCAAGGGGACTCCACTCTTTATGCTTCTCAAAGACCCTTACATCCTGGTGGCTGCAGGTAAGCTGGCGATGACCTCCCATTGGGCGGGGAGTGTCCGGGCTTCAGGCAGCCACGGCTGCTCACAGAATGGTCTCCCCAGGGTCCATCTGCTTTGCCAACATGGGAGTGGCCATCCTGGAGCCCACACTGCCCATCTGGATGATGCAGACCATGTGCTCCCCCAAGTGGCAGCTGGGTAAGTGCCCTCAGCCCCACTCAGGGCCTGGCAGGAGGAGGTGGGTGCCATGAGTCCTTTTGCTCAGTGTTACATGGGGACAATGTGCTTCCTTTGTAGAATGACCTCCCATGTCCACACCCATGAATCAAGCCCAAGCGGGTGTGCAGTCCCTCAAAGAAGCAGTCTGAGAAAGGGGAGGGTGGGAGAGGATGAAAGGGGCTATGGAGAGGTCACATACCTAGCTGTGCAGTAGAATGATTAATGATTTCCAGTCCAAAGATTCAGGTTTTGGTTTCAGCTTCTTTGATTTTCTATGAAAACTTGTGCAAATACTTTAAACTCTCTGAGCATCACTTTTCTTATTGCTAAAATGGGCGTCAAAATACTATCTAGTTCAAGGGAAATAGGATGAATAAATGACATACGAGGTGAAAATGCTTTGTTCCATGTACAATATTCATGTGCACCGTTACCATTCATATTTTTCTCCCTTCAGCTCCTCATCCTCAAGACTATCATTTAGTTATTATTATTTTTTTTTACCTCTATAAAGGTGCTTATGTAGCCCTCACTTAGGAAAAGCTATGGGCCCAGGAGAAAGGGTTCCAGCTTCCTTCGTTCATGCGGAGACTTAGAGAGGAGCTTGGGGATGAGGCTCTAGCCCTTCCCAGGAACCCTGAGGAAAGAGGATGGGGAAGGCTACGTGCAAATTGCTCCGTCACTGCCAGGAGGAGAGGCTTACGGGGCCAGAAGGGAAGCTGATAAGAACCTGATATAGTTCAGCATGCAATAAAAAGCACTAAATCTAATTTTGGGGGGGACAATTCTAAGCAAGACTCCCAGCTGCACTCCTAGTGCCAAATTGAATTTTTATGGGTTGCAAGTGCTTTTGACCATGACGATTAATTGAGTTAGTCGGTGTTCAGTGCAGATAATGCATCCCCTGCCCTAAGGCTCTGGCCTCTCAGGCTCTCCATACTGGAGAGCAGCTGCAACACAGAGTAGCTCCTCCCCAGCAGCCTAGGCACCAGCCTCAGTTGCCAGTTACCAATTACTCATTTACCAGTCACTCAGTTACCACCATCTTTTACAGCTTCCTCAATGCTACGTAGTCTGTAAAGTCTGACATCAAAGGTTATCCAACAACTACGTCAGAATCACCTAGAGAGCTTGTTAAAACTCTGATTGCTGGGAGACAGTGAGCAATTCAATCAAAACAAGTTTTCATCCCTAGTAAGTTTCCAGGTGATGCTGATGTAGCTGGTTAGCGATCACGCCTAGAAAATTGCTGCTGTACATGAAGAGCACCCCTCGAGGGTGTTGGGAGGAACAAAAGAGTCCATGCTTTTGAAAGTAATGTGTAGTCTGCCTCTGAGTGCTTGCTGTGTGGCCCACCGTATGCTAGGTAGCTTCACCAAGGGGAGGAAATAGCCCAGGTCCACCCGGGTTTGAATCCTGACCACGCCACTTCCTGACTGTGACCTTGGATAAGTTATTTAACCTCTTTGACCTCTGATGTGGTCTGAATGTGTCCCCCAAAATTTATATGTTGGAAACTGAATCCCCGATGCAACAGTCTTGAGAGGTGGGACCTTTGAGAGATGATGAGGTCATGGGAGCACCCTCATGAATGGGTGAAGACCGTTATCATGGGATTGAGTTTCTTATAATAAAAGGGAAGTTCAGTACCCTTCGCCTCTCTCGTGGGTGCTGTCTCTACATGTGATCCCCTTTGGCCATGTTGTGATCCAGCAACCAGGCACTCCCCAGATGGCCAAACAGATGCTGGAGGCTTGCCCTTGAATGTCTCAGCCTCCAGAACCCTGAGCCAAATAAATCTCTTTTCTTTATAAATCACACACTCCGGTATTCTGTTATATTATAGAGGAAGAAAATGGACTAAGACAGAAAATGGGTACTGAGAAACAGGGTTGCTGCTATAATAAATACTGGAAAATTTGGAAGCAGCTTTGGAACTGGGAAATTGGTAGAGGCTGGAATAATTTGGAGGAGCAGGCTAGAAAGAGCCTGTATTGCTGTGATTAAGGCATTAAGGGTGATTCTGGTGAGGGCTCAGAAGAAGAGGAGCGCTATAGAGAAAGACTGAATCTTTTTAGACATTGGTTAAGAGGTTGTGACCAGAACGTTGATAGAAATATGGACAGTAAAGGTCATTCTGACAAGGTCTCAGATAGAAATGAGGAACAAGGTATTGGACACTAGAGTAAAGGCCATCCTTGTTATACAGTTATACAGTTACAAAAAACTTGGGGGACTTGTATCCATAGCTTAGGACTTTATGGAATGAAGAACTTAGAGGCAATAAACTAGGATAACTGGCAGAAGAAATATCTAAGCAGCAAAGCTTCAGGCTGCATGTGGCTGTTTTAACTGCGTATATAGTGACATGTGAGAGCAAATAAATGACTTAAAGGTGAAATTTATGATTAAAAGAGAAGCAAAACAGAAAGACTTGGAAAATTTGCTGCCTGGCCTTGGAAAGAAGGAAAAGGCATCTTTAGGAGAGCACACCAAGGGTGTGGCCAAGCAACCTAAAGTGATCAGTATGGATTAAAGGGATCCAGGTACCGTTTATTAAGACTGTGGGAGAAAGACCCCAAAGGCATTTTAGAGATCTTTGGAACTGTGCCTCCCATTACTGGTCCAGAGATCTAGGAGGGCAGAATGGTTTGGGAATAAGCCTGGGGCATCCTCCATGGGCTCACTGCCCAGGACCACCTTGGGACTCTGCTCTCTGCGTTTCAGTGCAGTGCCCCTCAACTGTGCCAGCCATGGCTCAAGTGGGCCCAGAAGTGGCCTGGCCTCCCACTCTGGAGGGTGCAAGTGGTAAGCCTTGGTGGTGTCTATGTGGTGCAAATTTTGCACTAGTACAGAATACAAGAGCTATGGGTGCATGACTTCTTCCACCTAAATTTCAAAAGATGTCATGGACAGCCACTTCCAAGATCACAGAACTGTAGGGGCACCAGCCTGGTGGCCTGCAAGCATAAGACTCCAACCCATGATTGCTGCTGTGTGGACTGAGTCCAAAAAGACCATAGGGGTGGGGCTGCCTGATGCCTTGGGGGTCCAACCTCCACTCCAGTGTGCCCAGGATTTTGGACATGGAGTCAAAGGTGATTATTCTCCAGCTTTAAGACTTAATATTGTTTTCCATTTTGGGTTTTGGACTTTCATGGGACCTGTTACCCTTTTCTTCTTCCCTGTTGCTTGCTTTTGAAATGGGAATGTCTGTTCTATCCTTGTCCCACCACTGTTTTTGAAAGTAGATAAATTATCCCTTGGTATCCATAAGAGATTGGTTCCAGGACTCCTAATGGCTACCAAACTCCAAAGATGTTCAAGTCCCTTACATAAAATGGCATCGTATTTGCATATAATCTACACACATCCTTCCGTGTACTGTAATCATCTCTATCATGCCATGTAAATAGTTGGTATACTGTATTTTTTTTTGTTTGTATTATTCTTATCGTTGTATTTTTATTTTTATTTTTATTTTTTTTCCTCAACATTTTTGATTTGAGGTTGGTTTAATCCCAGGATGTGAAACCTGCAAATACAAAGGGCCAAGTATGATTTGTTTTGATTTCACAGCTCACAGCTGGAGGGAATTTGCCTCAGGATTAATCATACCTCGAATCTCAACCATATCTAATTTAGACAAGACTCTGGATTTTGGACTTTTGAGTTTATACTGGAACCACTTAAGACTTCTTAAACTATTGGGATGGAATGAATGCATTTTGCATTGTGAGAAGTACACGAATTTTGGAGGCCAGGGGTAGAATGCTATGTGCTCCAAAATTTGTGTGTTGGAAACTTAATCCCCAATGCAACAGTGTTGAGAGGTGGAACCTTTAGTAGGCGATGAAGCCCTAGGGTCACCACCTTTATGAGTAGATAAAAGCAATTATCATAGGAGTGGGTTAGTTACAAAAGGGGGGAGTTTGGCGCCTTTTTCCTTTCTCTCTCAAATGCCCTTTCTCCATGTGATACCCTTCGGCCATATGATGACCCAACAAGAGGTCCCTCACCAGATGGCCAAGCAGATGCTGGTGCCATGCACTGGCACTTACCAGCTTCCAGCACTGTGATCCAAATACATCTTTTTTCTTTACGAATTACCCAATCTGTGGTAATATGTTACAGCAGCAAAAATAAAACAGACTAAGATAAACTCCAGTTTTTTAATTTATAAAAATGTAGATATTTTTTAGGGTCATTTTGGTCTGGGATCCTAAATGGATTAGCCCAGTGTGTGGAATACAGGATACTGTCAGTAAATAAAAAATTCTTTGTACAATTTTAATAATTATTTTAGTTTAAACCATTTTGGTAGTCACAAAATGTGTAATCCCTCATCCCTTAAAGATTCGCTGTTAAAAACAGATGTGGATCCATAGATACATATTCTGGAGCATCTATTTTGCACAAAGTACTGCTAAAATGTAAGCTATAATCAGATCCTAAAGAACAAGCAACATGGATTGAGAAAAATCTGATTCAGGAAATTTCACACCATTTAAAATGATGTCAAGGAGCTGTATCCAGGAGGCTGTAGGCTTCCTAGAGGTGCTTACTTCCACATACTAGATAAACAATTGAGTAGTTTTAATTTTTTTAAGCAGTTAAATATAAACGAATGGGTACAGTTTGCAACAGATTGCCACCTGTCCAGATAGCCTACACAAATACACTAAGGTGTGTTTACTTCTACTCCATAGAAGAGAATATTAAAAGCAAACAAGTTGTCAGCCAATAACTGGTCGATTGTTGACTTTTAATTTAATTGTAATTGCCATGGTATTTTTTGTTAGGCTGCATTGTTTTCTCTAGGTGCAGAGAGGGATTAAAAGGGCTGGAGAGATCCAGAGAAACTCACTCTGCTGATCTCAAGCAGTCCCTTATACCGGAGCCATCTGTGCTACCACACTGGGGATGTGGTGTAGTGGAAACGCCTGGAGTTAGAGTGCGAAGGCCTGGACTCCAGTCCT